ATGAATATAAACCAATATAGAATGTACCATAGCACTTGCATTCTTTCTTAGTAGTGGTATCTTACATTGCTTCTTCTCTAGATAACACATTTTCCTCCTCTCTGGCTTTCTTTCCTTTCCAGAGCTCACATTTCATCTCAAAAATATTGACTTAGACAATCCAGGCATAATATCACTACAAGCTCATTATGTCATAGACTTTAATTATCCCTTCTCATCCATACATGAACACACAGAAGAAAAAGTTAAGCCAAATTGTCCATGGCCTGAAAGCCACAGGCATCGTGTGAATCATTGCTCTCCTGGGAGAGGAGGGTTTATAGGCCCACAGAGGGAGCACATCTCATGATTCTTGGGAAGAATCAGCAAACCTGTGGGAACTACTGGCAAAGTTTGTCCCACTGTGCCCTGTGGGAGCCCTCCTCCTGCCTTGTTCAGAGGCACTGGCCTTGTGTTCCCACCCTGCTGGTTGCTGTAGGATGTGAGTGATCCTGGCTCTTTGTAGTGGAACTGACACCCCTCCCCGCAAGTTACCTCTGCTCTAACTGTGAGTGCGGAGCCATTTCTAAGGCTACATTTCCGAATCTGATTTTCTTTACTTATTGAATCAATTTCTGAGTTCTTCAAGAATTTCTTTTACTTCCCAAAATGGAAGCACCACTGTCTGCCTTTGCTCTAAACGTCAGCGCTGTGTGCTTTGGCATGGGCTTGGCGTTGCTTTTCTTCTGGTGGAAAAAAAAAGTGTGCTAATTAGCACCCAGTTAGCCTGAACAGTTTGAAGACAAAAACTTAGCCAGAGGCAGTTCTGACACTCTATTTCTTTTCAGTTTCTACTTTTTATTTGAGTACATCTTCATATTACAGTGTTTTTCATCTGAAACTTTACTCAGCTGTATCCATGACTAGTTTGTTCTGGCTCAGCTTTTTCCTCTTAATCATGTTAGGATTCTTTGAGGCTTGAGGGTTTTCTCTGAACCCTCCACACAGAGCTGTGTGGGATTTTTCTCTTCAAACTGTTACTCTCCCCCACATGCATTCTGGACTGTAAATGCACACCTAATCAAGTCCAGTGTTTCCCCTGAAGCATTTTTCGAATTTGTCAACTTTCTAGTTGCTTGCTTTTCATATTACAGAAGCCTTACAAATATTTATCAAAGATCAGCACCGTCCTTATGTTTGCATTCAGAATAAGCCACTGTAGTAAAGCCATGCCATGCTGAGTACTTTGTTGACTTTTTTCTGCTGAAGATCCATACAAGTGGAAATTTGTGTGCTGAATACTACCTGGAAAATGATTTTTCATTAACTACCGATCCCTGTAACATACTTTTCATCTTAAAATTCACTGTCAAACAGTCATTCTTGAGTTCCACGTTTTTCCTCAGCTATGGTCGTTAGCCATGATTTTCTTCTTTTGCAATGTAGTATTTGCTTTTAACTGCCAAATTTGCTTCTCCTAAGCCCCTAATAATTATGTGCATCTTGTCTATGGCATGATGATGATAAAATAGTTGTTGTATTAAGAGGATCCTAATTGTGCATGTATGCTTCACAGTCCACATAAATCAAGACATCTTTACCTGATATCACATGCCATATCACTTGTCCTTTAAATAACATATTGGCATCTTACTGCAAACTTCAGGAAGACAAAATTTGTCAGCTTGTCACCCAGTGCTTTAAAAGCTGTTCAGCCACCCTCCCTTGAGATGTTGTTGTAAAATCTATAGTGCACAAGTCATTATAAATTTTATAGCTTTTTAGCATTTGTGGATAGACTGTTAATGAGTGAATAAATAACACAATGTTTTTTAATCCCACGCATTGCTTAGTGTGAGTTATTAAGCAATGGACACACAGCCATTCTGTCTCCTTTAGCAGAGAAGCATCTGTAATGCCCCGGATGCAACATCCCTTCCTCCAGGTGGTTGGGTAGTGTAATGCATTGGGCAATAATGTGGATCTAAGCCACTGCGTACTCAAAAAGAACAAAACTGTAGGAAAAAACAGAGTGATGTTCACCTCTTCTAAACTGCAGGATAGCTATTCACATCCAAGCTAATAGGCTACCTTGCCTTTTTGGGGTACAATCCACTTGACAAAAGACAGGTATCTACTCTGGAATTAGATAACTATCCAGACTATACAAAAGGAAAACCTTTCTCATTTTTATTGGCATTGTATGTAGACATTTACATGTGGTCCAAAGAATTCTGCTCTCTGTGCTCATGCTATGCACTTAACGTACAGTTTATCATTGCTGGGTTTTAACATCAGTGCTGTCATTCTTACTAGTCTTACTTACTCTGTGAGATTATTTACATATTAAAGCATTACTCAGCATGAGTAATGGTGCCAGCACTGAGGTTATGCTGCAAGTAGAGAGAAGAGAGGTTTCCATTATCACTATGCCTTATCTCAGAAAGATCACTGGAGAACTATCACTTCTCAGAGGTTCTGCTTGGTTTTGATCATCCTCCCTTCTTCCAATAATTGAGTCCAAGCATTTTAGCTTCTGTTATTTGGTAGAAAAGAACCCATCTTTTTGAAACACTTGTGAAGTTGCAGGGACGTCTGTGTAGGTTGCATGCAAAAGATTCCTGCACAGCTGGTGGTGGTAAGGCTGGTGAGGTAGGCTATGGGACAGTCTAACTGAAGGGTTCATGTATTGGACTCAGAAGAAAAAAGAGAGGGGAGAACCACGTACGGCTGGGATGCTTCAAGAAACAGAAAGTGGACGTACAGTCTAATAAGGATGAACTCAGCTGAAGTCTCTCATTCATTCACATATGTGAGTTGGATACCCTTTTCTGATCTGCACTGTTTTTGTGATTAGTAAAGTTATTTAATACATTCTTCTAAAACTAGAAAATAAGTAACATGGCTTCAGTTAGATGACTTTTTAAATTCATATTTAGTTTGGCTTGGCAGTTTCACTATATGGCGAAAAAACCCAAGGCTATTGTATCACATGGTATGTGCCCTTCTTTACTCCATTTGGGACCTCTGCCATTGCCATTTCTGCATGACAGTGTTAAGATGGTACCACCTGGATCTTTCCTACTGAAAAAAACTGGCATTCGCCTGAGCCAAACTCATATATTCTGACAAAGAAACATAAGAAACTGATAGGATGTGAAAAAGAAGCCACCAAGGCTTATTTGCCTTGTCCTGTGGCCACGAGTTGGGTTAAATTTTGTTCTAGTACCAGCAGGATGGTAGAAAATCTGTTAAAGGCAAGGCAGATAATTTAAATTGAATCTACATACAATCTTCAAACATTCATATACACTTGAATTCTAGGTATTTGTCCCCAAAATATGGAATGTTTATGGAGATCGGAATGTATCTGCATTGCTATATAAATCATTACATTAGAGTTGCTTGTGAACATATGAATAATCATCAAATCTGCTTATGTTGTCTTTGTACAAGCACAGGTCACTAAATAATTGGCTTATATTGATTACATTTATTTCAATAGACTTCTTCAGTTCTAATCCCCTCAATAATAATTGATTACTACACTACTTAGCCTTCCAGCCTACCCTAGGTACTCAAATTATACTTTATCAGCAGTATAGCTCATTTCTGTGTCTTAATGCACTGTTCCTGGCTCCTTGACTACTAAACTTTTTTAGTATAAATATATTAGCTATACCTAAAACATCATATTTTTGCATGTCAAAACTGTTGTGCAGTCAGCATGGAGCAATCAGGTAGATGGGCCTTTTCTCAAGTGTCATCTAATTTGAAGGAGTCCAAGTCTGCCAGTTGTCCACATTCAAAACACTGCATGCCACGATGTTGAAAACAGTATTTAAAAAAAAAGAATTTTGTTGCCTTTTTGCTAGCACTTCTGTTCTTCACATTTCTGCTCTTAATTCATTCATTGTGCAGTGAAAAGGAATCCTTGCAATTCCTTATCTAGCCTAGGGCATAAAACTACCCAGATTTAGTTTGTATTTGTACTTACGTCATTTGAGGGAGAAAGAATCTTAACCCTCTGTGACAGAGTTCACCACAAAATCTTGAGAAGCTATTCCAGCTTTTTCAGTAGCCTCGCTACTAAAGTAAACGTGTATTTCTAAGCTAAAATTTGTTTAGTTTCTTCTCACAGCCATTATACGTTACTAGACCTTTGTCCACTGTCTGGAAGAGTCCACTAACAGAATTATGTTCTCTTCAGACATACCATAGGTTGTAATCACATTACTCCAAAACTTAAGTGTCTCCAACTGCTGTGTTCCTAGGCACATTTCTGACTGTAGCAGAATATAATTATTGTTCTCAGACCCTTCAACTGTGAATTTCACTGGAGAGTAAAGCTTGGTTTGTTCACAGTGATAAGTTTCACGTTCATTTGTCATTCTTCTTCTGTAGCTCCATCTTTTTCCTAGGAGAAAATGGACATGAGAAGCCCTCTCCATAGCTTGCATTCAGGTTCTCTTAGTTTACACAATACTTGACTTACGGCTGGCAGGTGTTTTCTGTAGCTCCATATAAATCCCTAGAGGGATGGCTTGCCTCACCCTTCATCACAGGTCATCTGCCTAAAGCCAAAGGAGATACCTGCCCAATTTTTGGTGATGGTACCATACCAACATACCTGTTGAAAAAGAGGAGCTTGAGATTTCTAATAGTATTTTATGGTACGCATAAACAAAAATACAACAGAGCTGAAGGTATTGCTAATTAGCACCAGGATTGTTTCCAGGATGCTTAATGAACTGCAGAACAAAGTTAGGTGGAAATCTTCCTTTCCCTTGCATGCTGAGGAGATAGATAGTGCAACAAATATTTTGTACCTTTTCCATCACAAACACTTTGCAGTTGTATAGGAGTTTTCCTATGGTAGAAACTAAGACTGTTTAATTACAAGCTGCTTGTTGCTAAAGATTTTTCTTTTTTTTCTTGAGTCATGAATTTGTGAGATCAAATTCTATAGAAGGCACACTGAATTACCTCTCTTACCTCTACCTCTTCTCTTGATTATCTAGATCCCTATGTGAAAATCCATCTGATGCAAAATGGTAAGAGGCTGAAGAAGAAAAAGACAACAATTAAAAAGAATACTCTGAATCCCTACTACAATGAGTCTTTCAGCTTTGAAGTACCATTTGAGCAAATTCAGGTAATGTCAAACAGTGTTTTGTCTTCCCTCTGCATTCCATTTCTCAGCCCTTATAAATATTTAACAGGAATCATGCTAATTATCACATGTGCATGCCTTCATTAGCACCTAGGTGCCAGCCTTGTGCTGCAGGAGATGAGTGTGAGTGCTTCAAGAGGGAAACGATAAAATGCACAGTACTTATGAAGCTTTGATTCATCAGTGTGAAATGAATAACTGACATTTTATGTTAACAGGAATGGATTCTGGAGAAAAAAAAAAAAAAAAAAAAAAAAAACCTACAGGGAGATAGCAAAGAAATGTTCCTGCAAAAAACAAAAAAAAGAAGTATAGGGGTAGAAAAAACTTGTATGCTATATTTTCCCTCAGGTTATTGAAAATAATAAATCAGTATCACTGATCACAGTTGTGTTCTCTATGCGTTTTTAGGAAATGTTTGTTGAAAGAACTGCAGCATCCCTGTCAAGTAAAATACATTATTTATTTATTTGTGTTTTAATAGTTACCCATTTTACCATGAAAACTTTTTCAGTGCTTCCCACTTCTCTTTGAAAAAGGCATTTGAGAATCGCAGGGGTATCATTTTTCTTGGCAGCTCAGTGCAGCTCCAGCAGTTCCTCCTGTGCTGTTCCTGAGGAGTTCAATTCCTAAAACTAGGAGGCTCAGAATCCAGCTCATTGACCTGAAAATTGCCTCCCCTAGTTGTGGAAAATACCAAGTAACCACATCAGCATTACTCAAGGACTTGAGTACCTACCTTTGGGCTGCTTGGAGGCTAATCATCTCTAATTTATGTGAATGAGATTTGACTTCTCAAGTTAACTAACATTTTTCTCACAAGAGAGATGATCTTCTTAACCATCTCAGGAAGATCACTTGTTAGATCATTCATTGTCAGGACAAGATGCATGGGTTTAAATATGAGAGTAGAGAACTGCATGCTGGCTTCCTAGCCTCCCAGGAGGCTCTGTGACTATGCAGACAAATTAAGCAAGACAAATTCTTTTCTGGATGGAGCTCAGTGTGGAAAGTGTACTTTCGGGGGTCTCCCAGTTTGAAAGACAATAACTAAAAGTCTGAGAATACTTGCTTTTGTGGATTGTAAGAAAGGTCTTAAACTACAGATTAGGTGCCTTGTTGCTATGGGGGTTGAAATGACATTGGTTAAATATACAGCCAACAGACACTGTTAGGGAAAACTGCAAGGCAACGGAGACTGCAAGGCATCATACTCTTGATTAGGAGAGAGCCTGGTAAGGGTTTTGGGAATCTGCATCTTCAATTCTGACAGCAGCTGAGCTGGAGAGAAGTCCAGAATCTAAGGCCTACCTTTCACAAAAGCTGTGTGCTTGCCTTTTATTGGCTTGGTTCTGACAAAGATGAAAAAGCTAAACAAGATGAGGCACTAGGAATAGTGACTAGAAAGAATGAATGACCCTCGTAGGAGCTTTTTGATACCCCCCACTGCAAAAATACAGATGTCGATGGCAGGAGTCAAAAAGCAGGAAATCCAGTGGGGGATGGTTCCAGTCGATTGTAATGAAAGCTGTTCATTGTCCTTGGGAAACATCTCAGAACAAGTGTCAAAGAACCAGATGCTAAAAAAAGATCTATCATATAAAGCCTCTCTGAAATATCTGGATTTCTGAGTAGGGGCAGGAGTGGGAAATCTGAATGGATACCTCCAAGTTATCGAATAAGAGCTTTGGCGTGTTAACACTTATTCTGTGGGTGCTTGGCCATTTTGCCCTCTACTCCTAAATCAGCTTAGTGGGGTGGACACAGACATTTTAAAAAGTGTTGTAGTTTAGCTATCTAAAATTTTGCTGCTTTTTTGGTAAGTTTATTAGAGTGACTTATAGCTATTTACCTCAGGATATAGCCTCAATTTAATGATCTATAGTTATGGACTGTGGACATACGCCAGTGTATTTTGGAATTAGTTATGAAAGACTGTGTTTAGAAGAGATTTCATTATGGTCACTGTAGTAATTTCATCATCAGAAAAAAAAAAGCATTTTAAATATTGTTTAGACTTACGTGATGGTAAGAGTGGATTTAGGCTCTGGAGTGAAATGGGCACGCAAGGAAAAGTGGTATGTTGAAAGGCAATGAGAGAAGGCCACTGGGAAGTCAAATCCTGTTCCTACAGTCAAATCAAGTACCTGTTTCACCACTTTCAGAGCAGACCACATCCATAGGTAGCAGTCTCCACGCCCATTCATTCCAAGGAAACTGCTAATCCAAGAAGGCAGAGATGGTGCTTTCTGCTGCACCTGTTGTATTTTGCAGTGCAGCTGTTGCTTTAATATGTGGTAATATGCAGTACAAAAGTACTGAGATGCTTACATTTCTCTGTGGGTTTAAGTCAGAGACCATGCAGTGAAAATCATTTCTGAGCTACTTTTTCTTCCATCTTAATAGATCAAAAAAGTGTCTTTTGTTTTCAGTGCTCACTGTTCCATTATGATTAACAAAGGAAAAATCCAATAATAACTAGCCCTGAGCTTCTAGGTGCAGCAGACAACATTTTTTGGTAGCATAAAATAGAACTCATGTCTGTGTTTTGTATCCGTGATTGTATCATGCATCTAAAACATAAATGTTCATTTGGGGAGGTACCATCAACATTAACGTGAGTGTATTGCAAGCAGCAAAACTGAAACATCATTTTGGCCTCTAGAAATACTTGCTTCAGGATATTGCTATATATCATGAGTGCTCTTGGGAAACAGAATCTTGAGTTTGATGTACACTTTTGTCATCGGCAACTATATCAATACTTTAGTGCTTGCTAGAATTATTTCTTTCTCTGGCTCAGTGAATTGCAGAGTCTTGTAAGTGAATGGACTCTAAAAAAGAGCTCATGGGTCTGGTCTTGCAGAGATGCTTAAGGGTTACTTTTAAAAGATAAACCCTATTGCAAGCAATGAAATTAATTGTGCTAGTAGAAAAATCCAGACTATACACATATTTAAAACCTTAAATTTAAAAAAACCAATACTTGAGAATTTATATATTTTATTTATTTATTTATTTATTTATTAAGAAATCTATTTCAGTGCATTTCTTCCTCCAGTTCAGGAAGCTCACATTCACATAGGGAACTATATATATTTATAAGGGGATGGAAAGAAGTCACAAAAAGAACTGTATGCTCAACTTTACCAGGAAAATCTCTAAGGAGAAACATTTACAGTTAAGTAAAATCAGCCCAAGGCTGTTTAATGTCTCAGATACTATTAAGAATACCACTCCACTGAAGGCAAAGCTCTTTGTACTGTTTCAGTAAATCTTAACAACCTGATGGAGAGGAACATGTGCATGTATACACAAATACCTGCCTTGAACTCTGCCTCTCAATGTGCCCCGGCCCAAGTGAACAGAAACTGGTGTGTGAGGTCTGAGAGATGGGCTTTTACAATTCTGTGTGCCAGAGCTTACCAATCCTACAGTCAAGTGGCTCTGCAGCTCTGGCGCGGTTGCAGGCCAGACCTCACTGTGCCTGATAGTGCTGCTGTGCCAGAGCCCCGAGACACCAGTTTCTTATTCATTCCGGCTCCCTTGAGTGTGCAGTCTCTTTTCCTGACTGCTTTATAGTTGTATAGATCTATCACCTACACATAGATGGGGGTGTGCACATGCGCACACGCAGGTATGTACATCTATCTGTAGATAGCAGCTCTAAGGGCTGTCCTCTGAATTATTACTGCAAGCAGACGATTTGCATGCAAGATAGATAGAAGGAGTTGTTTAGAAGTAGGAAGAATTGAGTGCAACACTGGAAATGATAAGTTGGTGTGGAATTCATTTCTGAATTCAACCTTCTAAGTTTAACATTTACTTATACGATAGTGATATATTTAACTGAACTACTTTTTAATTAACTTTGCTGAAGATCTCACCCTTAGCCCTACAGACTTCAGGTAGCCTGATTCTCCAGGAACAACAAAAAAAATGTGTACGTTGTTAAGCCGTTAAAGGAAAAAATCAACTTTTATTCTCCCATGAAGCTCTTTGACACCAGGGGGTGAATTGCATGTTAACCTTGAGGTTCTGAGTAGAAATACATCTGGAAGGCTCACAAGAAACAAAGACAAGTGTTTGAATTCACTTATGGTTGGAGGAGCCTCCTCTGGCAGTCGTGCATCTGCTCAATTGGTGTGTACGGAGTCTCGATTGTAACTGTGCTCAAATTCCTCTCTGCCCTTCTCCCCTCACTGGTCTTTTTCTGTCTCATTGTAGAAAGTGCAAATTGTTGTAACTGTTTTGGACTATGACAAGATTGGCAAGAACGATGCCATCGGGAAAGTCTTTGTGGGCTACAACAGCACTGGAGCAGAGCTGAGGCATTGGTCAGACATGTTGGCCAACCCCAGGCGGCCCATCGCACAGTGGCACACCCTACAGCCCGAGGAGGAGGTAGATGCCATGCTGGCAGTCAAGAAGTAAATTAAATTAAAGTACGAAGAAGAAGAAGCCTTTCTGCATTTGCCCACATAGTGCTCTTTAGCCAGTATCTGTAAATACCTCAGTAATATGGGTCCTTTCATTTCCAGCCATGTGTTCCTGTCACTGATCAGTTGTACTTTTAAATTAATTCCTGTTTTAATTTGCACAACTTTAAATGTAGAGAGCCCTCTAACGGCGCTTCATTTCACCACTGCCCCCCAGATCTACTCTTCTTTTAAGCAATATGATGTGTAGATAGAGCATGACAGAAATTATTTATTGTATCACACAGTTGTATATATACACCAGTATGCTGAGAATTTATTTCTAGTTTGTGTATTTGTATGTTGTAAGCGTTTCCTAATCTGTGTATATCTAGATGTTTTTAATAAGATGTTCTATTTTAAATTATGTAAATTGACTGAGATATAGGAGAGCTGATAATATATTATAGGGTAACTATTGTATCGTCTGCATTCCAGAAAAAAATTCCAACTTGTAAGGCACTAGTAGTGTTACACTGACATCTTAAAGGACAACTTAAATCTGAGCTTTCAACTGGACCATCCTAATAACAAGCTACGCATACACAGTGAATCTTGGAGGGGCACATCCAATTTGGTAGACTTCTTTGACAGGCAACTTAGCATGATCTGAGCAGCTCCATGGCTGACCTCAAGGAGATGTAGCCAGAAGCCAGGAGATCAGTTTTTTGTATATACTCCAAAGCGCAAACATTACAGACCGAAAAGGCTTTCGATTGAAAGTTGAGGAAGCAGTTCCGTAGGAGGCGACAATTTCATCTCACGTGAAAGTAAGAACATTGCAGAGGTTATGCGGGGAGGGGGGGCCCGCCGCCCGGCGGCGCAGCGGTCGTGAAACGCTGCCATGAAATCAAGAGTAGCTCTCCGTTATCACCTTTATACAAAATTTGCATACTGTGAATTCCATCCACGATTTCACATTATAATGAGTTTGCACATTAGACTTTGTAACAAAATATTTTATTATACTATCTCAGATTAGAAGGAATGCAGAATATTTTTTAGACACAGCCGTGTGAGTTTATTATACAAAATAGTTTCATGGTAAACGGACAGTATTGTAATCCCATCAGAAGATGACAAAATTTAGCCATAGTTCTAAATGCACTTCAAAGTAAGCCAAAAGAGAACAGCTAGTGACCTTTTATATACTATTTATACTTAAGTTTTAATTTGTCCTTTAAAAAAAAAAGTGAAAACAAAGAACAAGTTCTAGAAAACTGAAGCAACCTCTTCTGTATACTAGATGCTCGTTTCAGGAGGAGTTTTTAAATGTTTTCAATGTTATTATGTAGTAAATGGCACTATTATGAAGCTATTAGTCATTCCATAAGAGTCTTGAAAGACTGCTCTGTGTATCACTGTGACTGCCGTGTGTGCTTAGAAATGTAGTTTTCTCAGTGGATAGCAATCAATTTATTCCGTAGTGATATTGTAATAATACTGCCATTCCCTTCTACTGCACTGCCGAAGGAAAGCATAGCACAAGCAGTTCTAGTTATTACGGACCAATTTAGAACTGGAGAGCTATGCAGGAGACAAGGAGGCTATATTGAATGGGTTGACCACGCAGCATTTTGTCAAGCCCTGTGCAATATTCCCCATTTCCAACCTCCCTCACCCCGGCGCCCCGCTGCTTTACTGTAGATAGCCATCTTACAGCTAGCCAGCATGTCATCTCGGCTTGTGCCATCTCATCAAGTCATTTAGGGCATCACTTCTATCCCATGTACTGTCCTTTGAAGCCCTTTGAAGCCCCTCGCTTGTCTTTCCAAGCTGTGAATATATTTATAATGCTTTGAAAAGTGGATTACTTTCAGCCATGCAAACTACCCCAGAAATGTGGCAATGCTATACCTTTTGGAGGGAGACGTGAGATGCTAATGCTTTTCTCAATTGTACCTAAAAGAAATTATTGTGGAAAATGAAAAAACGATGAATGTGGTTAGAGAACCGGGGGCTGAAAATGAAATTCTACACCCTCCCTCAAGGCTCTGCTGCTGAGAGAGCTGTGACAGTGTGAGGTCAGTGTGGTGGTGGCCACATGCCACCATTTGCAGTGCACGGAGGGAAAAAGGAGCAGCAAAGTGAGAGGAGACTAAAAATATGGATCTCTCCTCACCTCCAAAAGTAAGTAGCAAGACCCATTTTCTTTCTTTTTTACATGAAACATGGAAAATACACAAGTGAGACATCTTCTGATAGAAACAGGCACATACATGCAAAGCATCAAGCTGGAATACTTTAAAATCTTAACCTTGAGGACCAAACCCCACCAAAGAAAAGACCGAGACAGTCAGCTTTCCAGCATAAGAGCAGATATTCAGCTTCATGGTCTCTAGCTTTCAGTTGTTCATGCGGGATAGCTGCAGGTTCAAACTGCCAGAACTGATTCATTGTGTTAAGGTATTCTTAATGCTTTTTCTTCCTACACTGCCAGACTGAATGTCACCGTAGAATTGGTTTGTAAGGTACTACGATTCTCAGAGACCGAACCTGCTATTTGACCAAGATGACATTTTCATCCTCAAAGAAGCCACATGTACCTTTCTGACAAAGCTGTGTGAAGTATTAGAATCTGATGCTGTAGAAAGATCCTAGTTGCCTTTGTGTATATTTACTGCCTGCTTGAGTGTTTCTCTGTGTGGGTTTTCTCTGTATCTTGTAGAAATGTTTGGGGTGTTTTATCCTGCCATATCGCTCGTGGCCCGCGAGCTGACAACTTTAGCCGTATTTTACCTTCATTTTTGATGAGGTGGTTTATATTTTGTTCCACTTTGTGTAGTGACTTCCCACAGTAGAGTTTTCCAATTGTCGTTAAAATAACATACATATTACACAGATATTCAATAAAAATGTTTTATTTCCTGTTGATGTTTCAGTGTTTCTCTTTTGATCTAAAATTAATTAAAGAAAAAAGAAAAAGGCATTTCACTCATAGACCTTAACACAACCATAAACACAGCAGTACTGCAAATGCTATGACACCAGGCCTTGATGGGGTCTGTTGTAAGGCAGTCACAGCCAGCGCTTCTCCAGTAGGTGAACTCTGCCTGCCCTGCAGATGAAGCATTCCTCTGCTTTCCCAAGGAGGCTGATTATTTGCCTCCTGAGACATGATTCTCTAACAAAACACGGAGTACTTTCAACATCATGACAAAAACACCAAGCAGTTGCCTGTACAATTGGTACTCCTCCAGCCAATTGCAATTGTTTGCAGAGAGATGGTACCTTTTAACTTATCCAAGGGCTACTTCTAAGCTGGCCATAAAAATCAAGCCTCTTGTAGACTAAAAGTCATCAGAGAAGGGACTAAAACTTTAAGTGGAAAAAACGTTCTGTGAGAAATTGAATCCACTAACAAGTGAACAGCATTGTACTTCAAAATGACTGAATTTCCTACCGAGAGAAACTATTCAAAACAAATGACAGCAACAACACAAAAACCTGTAGCCACGTTTGTTTTAAACGTAACATTTTCCACAGCAACTCTTTCTGCTACTGTTTTTTCTCCCAGTCTCCAAAGAAATTTACCCATTCCTTTCAGGAGCCACAATACTTACTGATATGCACCACTTTAACTGCAGTCGTTTCTGTGCCAGGAGCTCATTGGAACAATTTTCAGATCACCCATTTCCCTATTCCCACTGCTCAGAAACTGCTCATTTCTCCTAGCTGTTTTTTTACACCTTGAATCAAGGAGCACCAAAGGGCCTTGTGCCACTTCTGTTGTCAGCATGTTCTTTTTTAACCATCTTGATGAGGGAATTCAATGCACCCTCAATAAGTTTGCAGACAACACCAAGATGGGAGGAGTGTTGATCTGCCTGAGGGGAGAAAGGCACCAGAGGGACCTGGATAGACTGGATCGATGGGCCATGGCAAATTATGAGTTTCAATAGGGTCAAGTGTCGGGTCCTGCATTTTGCTCACAACAACCCCAGGCAACCCTACAGGTCTGGGGAGGTGTGACTGGAAAGCTGCCTGATGGAAAGGGACCTTGGTGTACTGATGGGCAATCTGCTGAATATGAGCCAGCAGTGTGCCCAGGTGGCCAAGAAGGCCAATGGCATCCTGGCTTGTATCAGGAATGGAGTGGTGAGCAGGACTAGGGAAGTCATCCTGCCCCTGTTGGGGCACTGGTGAGGCCTCACCTCAAGTAGTATGCTCAGTTTTGGGCACCTCAGTACAGAAAGGACATTGAGGTGCTGGAGCAGGTCCAAAGAATGGCAACAAGGCTTGTGAAGGGCTTAGAGAATATGCCCTACGAAGAGTGACTGAAGAAACTGGGGCTGTTTAGGGGAAAAGGAGGCTGAGGGGAGACCTTGTTGCTCTCTTCCAATATCTGAAAGGTGCTCACAGCGAAAGCGGGGTTGGTCTCTTCTCACTGGTGACAGGATGAGGGGAAATGGCCTCAAGTTGTGCCAGGGTAAGTTTAGGTTGGATATCAGGAAACAGTTCTTTACAGAAAGGCTTGTTAAACGCTGGAATAGGCTCCACAGGGAGGTGATTGAGTCACCGTCCCTGAATGTGTTTAAGAACCATCTGGATGTGGTGCTCAGGGACATGATTTAGTGGAGGGTTGTTGGGTAGTTTGGTTAGGTTGTGGTTGGACTTGATGATCTTGAAGGGCTTTTCCAACCTGAGCAATTCTATGATTCTATGATTCTATGCGAGCACCTGTTGACATCTCCCAGTGGGCCTGCGTTCCTCTTCTTCCAAGATTGTCAGCAAGTCTGCATCTGTGGCTTAACAGAGCTGCTGCAAGATGCTGCCCATGGGTCTTCAGGAGCCAAGGTAATGCTCCTGTAGTGTGCTGCAGTTCCCCATAGATACAGACGGGTGCCATGTTATGGAGGCATGAGGTGCCGCTGCTCCTTTCCTTGCCATCTGAGCTGTTGTATTGCTCAGACCAAGCATGTACTTCCCTAAGGGCATCAGTTTGCTTACGAACAGACGTAGATCTATTAAAATCAATCAATAAAAGTACTTTGATCCTGACTCTCTATGTATCAGCTGTTTTGGTTGTTCTCGAGAATAACAAAATAACAACTTTGTCAATCAAGACCAGTTCTTCCAACAGGGCTGATCAGTTGAAGACAGTTATTACAACTAATGTAAGGAAAAATGCTTTGCATAATAGCTGTTATACTAAGTGGGAAAAGCAGCAAAAATTACCAATTATATTCAGTTCATTTAACCCCTAATCAACTGTGAAGAAAAACATTCTTTCCAACTAACAGACTGTTACGAAAGCAAAGGATCCACATCTCTTGATCACTTTTCACATCATGAGCCAATGAAAGTTAATTGCCTGTTAGTTATGCAAAGCAAGAATTAGAACATTGTATTTTCTGATAACCCTAACAGTCAATTTCTTTATTTATTTATGCACTACTATTTTCACTCCAGGCTTCCAGTTTAGTTTCTTGTACACATGCTGTCCTGCTTTTCAGAATGCACATCCACCACAGTCATGCCCAGCCTCTATTTTCACTATCGGTTCAGATGCTTGTTCACCTGGATTTTAAAGAAAGCATGGAAAAAGGGTTTTCTGTATGTACCACAAGAACTGATACTCAGCCTTAGTTACATTTACCTTGCACACAGTAAATCTTCCTATGATCAACAGAGAGAATACTTTTAATGTTGTGCCAAAAAGTAGTGTGCGACAGAGACGGTATGGGTCAGAAAATAATTTATGGTACTGTGTGACTGATACCTGCAGCAGTATTTTCAAATACATAAGCCACACTAAGAGGTTTATTCAAGACTTTAA